TCTCTCTCTCTCTCTCCCCCCCCGTCGTGTCTCCGGGATTCCCCCCCGGCTGCTGATGTGGCAGTGATGTCCCTCGTGCCTGTCTTTGCTCCCCCAGTCTGCGCAACAGAGAACGAGCTTGCGCCCGTCGATCAATAGGCGGCAAATGTGCCGCTGGGGTGCAATGACCATCCGGGCCAGGTCCAGTCCTCATCCTCACGCGACGACCTCCGCCGTCATCTCCGTCCGCCGTACGGATCCTCGGAACGTAATCGGAGTCATCAGGATCATCGGCGCCTGTGGTCTCACCGCCCTCAGCGGCTGTGGAGTTGTCGTCGTGGAGGATGATCGTGCCGCCTCGTCTCTTCTCACCTCGACCTGCTTCGTCCTCTCTGTCACCTCCCTCCGCCCCCCCTTGTCCATCTGCGGCAGCTGGCATCTGTCAGGTCTCGTCCCTGTTGCGGAAAAAAGGATGCAGGCGCCGCCGGTGATACGGAATTGACACACCTGTTTCCTTCTTCCTCACCCGTGACAGCCTCGCAGTTGCCGTCCTGGTGTCGTTGACATCGATCCTCTTGGCCTGTATAGGCCTCCCATGCTGCTCCTCGTAAGCTCTCATGGAATCATGACAAGTGCCATCGACGTTGCCGATCGATCGCGCCCCCGCGGGCACATCTGCCGGTCCATATGCTGATGTTTGTCCCATATCGCCCGCCCTCCGGTCCATGCCCGCACCGTCGTAGAAAGACCTCGTAGGCAATGCGTTCGGCGCGGCCTGCCCGTGGGCGGCAGGATCAGCGGCAGAGGGGCGTGAGGATGGTGGACACATGATGTCACTCATCCCCGTTAAATGCGGTCGAGGCTCATCTGTGTGCCCGTCTCCAACGTCATGTGTGCTGGACCTGACAATGCTGGGGTGTGCGGTCGATGACCCTCTGCGCTCGATGCCCCCCCTGAAGGACCGTCCACCATCTGCGCTCCCTGGCTGCGTTGTATCCTCGCTCACGCCCTCGCCTCCGTCCGAGCGGATAACTCCGGGAGGCCTCGCCTCTAAAGTCTCCGCTGGCCCTCGATGTGGCTCTCGCTGCGGTCCCTCCTCTGGTGGATGGACTGATGACACGCCGCCCGATAACAGCTGCGAACCATGACCCCCCTGCGCCAAAAAATCTCCAGACGCTGCCTCTAGTGAACCTTCCAGACTACGATGAGTTGCGACGTGCGGTCCACCACGACGGTTCCGTGCTACCTCCTCCGCCAACCCCTGCTCCACCGCCCACGGTGCACCGACATGAAAAATGGCGGGAGTGCCGGACTCTGGAGGATGCAGTATCGTGTCGCCACCGAACTCGTCGAACCTTCTGTCACGACGCGCATCATCTCGTCTAGCAGGCTCCGGTGGTGCCACAACCGACAAAGTGGGAGATATCAGTAGCGATATATCGGGCAGAGATGCCAAGGCGGAATCCATGGTGAATAGCTCGTCGGTGGGCGGAAGACTGTCGGGCGGGCAGTCGAGGCCGACGTGGTGGTCCATCGGAGGACGTTCGTCCTCCCCATCCTTTCCACAAGTGGGAGTGGGTGCAACCTCTCCCTCCTCTAGACCGTCGTCACTCGTGTGAGGAGGCGGCTCACGTCATGCCTCGCCGTCCTCCAAACCCGCTCCTGTGAAGTGGACTGGGGCGCCTGCTGGAGTGCACCGAGTCTGCGCCTGGCGGAGTGGACCGGGTCCTCCGAACTCCGTCTCCTCCTCAGTGCCAACAACCGACGCTGGCGACTGGGGATGAGTGATCCTGAACCCTGTATCCTCCTCCGTCACTATCACATCAGTGTTCGAGGCTAGCTCCTCTGCATGAACCGGGTCGCGTTGCGTCTCGTTGGAAGGATCTCCCATCTCATCCTCTGACACGGCAACCGGGTCCTGCCGCATGTCACGTGCCCCCGTGTCGATCGCAATGTGGACACGACGTCTGCGTACACGAGACGCAATACTGTCATCCCGCCTACCC